GTGTTTTTTAATTTTTCATAATCTTTGCTTGAGCGGTCCAATTCTTCAACTTTATTGTTCTTGATATTCTGTTTTCCATTTCGTTCATTCTAGTGGTGAGGCTTTCTCCTATTGTTTCAAATTGGCTTACTGAATTTTTCCCTTCTTTCTTCATTTCAGCCTAAGTTTTCTTCAGTATCTCTATCTCCTTTGTGAATTTAGTCAGACGTTTATCTATATCTTTTCAGTTCTTTGATTTGTTTGTATGTTCTTTAAATTCGTTGAATTCTTTGATCATGTTTATGATTGTTCTTATAAATTCTAGGTCCTGGGTTATCTCTAGGGGTTCTCCTTGTAGAACTCTTCTATAGGACTGGCAGTGTTTGGTGGGAACATATTATTTTGATTTTCCATATTACTATTTTTCTGTTGTGATTTTGGCATGTGGATTTCTTTTGTTGTTTGTGATTCTGGTACAAAACTCAAGCCTTCTTTTGTTGAGTTGAAGTCTGCTTCTTATTTGTATTATTGGAGTGTCTTGATTTTTTTTATTGGGTATGTAAAGCTGGTTGGTCTAGGCTTCAGTTTCTCTCTTTTGACTTTATATTGGAAGACTCAGAGGCTTCACTCCAGCCACTCAGGAGCTCCTGTAGAGGCCTACGTCAGACACCAGTCAGGTACTCTGAGGCTTCCCCCTAAAGTTTGGGTCCCTATTAGCAAGAAGTCACAGCACAATTTGGGAAGCTCATTAAGGGGAGGCCTGATTCAGGTGCTCTCAGGCAGTCCAAAAAGATCTGGGCCCCAAACAGAATTCTTAATCCCCACTCTCCTATTCCAGTCCCTCCTTACCCTCCCCATGGTACTATGTTCCTCTCAGCTACTCAAAGCCAAAGCCTAAGACCAAGTGGATTCTTTTCTCTTCACTATCAGCCAAAACATTCTCCATAAATCACCCTGTCTACCAAAATATATCCTGAATTCATCGGCTTTTCTCTGACACTGCAAGCAATGCTGTGGTCCAAGTCACTACTGTCATTTCCTAACGAGAGCTGCCGCTTCTGTTTGTGCCTGCTTTCAGCTGAGTTTCTCCATGGAGCACTCTGAGTGATGATTCAGCATGTAAGACATGTAACACTCTACTTGGAACTGAGAATTCAATAATGATTTCTAATTCAATAAATTCCTGGACTTAGGGTTTCAGTAATTAACTATGGTATTATGTTCTGACACAGGGAAGAACAAGTACCTCATAGAGATCTCAGGTTCATCTCTCTCTCTCTCTCTCTCTCTCTCTCTCTCTCTCTCTCTCTC